CCGGATGTTCCCGGATCATCCAGGATCATCCAGGACGTTGCCGGCAGAGTTACGGATGTACCCCGGTTGTTCCCGGTCGTACCCCGGTCGTTCCCGGATCACCCCGGACGTCTACCGGGGCTCTGCCGGGGCTCTGCCGGGATGTAAGTGAGACTGTAACTTAAGATGTGTTTAGATATTTGATGTGTGAGGTGGCAACGTTGATCTCATATATTGAGTCTAATAATTAAGGGTACTTGGGGAGAAATGGTAATTACTAGTCAGTTAGCCAGTTAAACCTGAAGGCGAACGTCCTGATCTTAAATATTTTATAACTGTTGATTTTGAAATAACCTTTTTTAAACGGATTTTACTGTAAACACGTCATATACGGTAACTTGATACTGTTCTAGATATTTATCGATTTTGGATTTTACTACCTTTAATTTAAACCATGTTAAAAAGTATAACCTTTTAAGAGTGCAAATTGGATATTAACTGTATTTATCCATTTATTACCATATGGTCAATGGTTTACTTTAAAGAGAACGCTTTTAAATAATATCCACAAATACGGGGTAAATGATAACGTTTTTGAATGAATATTATTTCATGTACATAATTTATGTAAATAATTATATTACTTAATGTATCTTTTGTTAAGCTGCACGGAAAGTTGCCTTTTGATGTTAGATGATTAATGTTAGATATGTCGCAGGGTAGCTTATTGCTTATGCAGTGAATTTTTTTTGCTCACAGTTGGAGTTATTTTATTAACTTGAATATTTTATTATTTGTCATAAGGCACATCTTTTTTTGCCTCAGAATATATATAAAACAGGAGTCGTGCTGTTAAGGCGTTAATGGAAGATTTCCATTTTTTACTGTAGATGTCTATTGGTGTGTTTCAAATGTATTATAATACTATAGAAAATATTAAGTCAATTTTAATTTAATTTTTGGCCTCTCCCTTATGCAGTGCGTGAATTTTTTTGCGCCAAAATAGAGAATACTGTTTTAACTCGCAGTGTGGGGACTTTTAGCGGATACTTTAAAAACTTCATACGTTTGATAATCTAAATACCCGGAAGTAAACTGTAACAAGACTAGTAACAAATATTAAAAGCAAACAATACATAATACGAAACAGAAGTAGCACTTCAATATAATCATACGATGTATTGATTTTATATTTTTTCAGACACCTTTCACCCCTTGATGACAAATTCAGATCAAACGTTCCGTAAGCAGAGACTTGAAGACGGGTCACAGGTTGAAGACTGCTATGGTATTGGTAACCAACCTGCCACATTTTTAGACCTTCATGATGACAGCATATTTGAAAATGAATATCACTTTCAAAACGAGGCTGTAACTAATCAAAAGGTCGATAGGTCAGAGGTTACAATTTATGACACACTTCAACGAAGAATACGTGAACTGGAGGACACCGTGTACTTGCGGAATAGAGAACTACAAAGGAGCAAAGTTCTTGAGAGGGATTTTGAAGAGGCGTTGATCACCATTGCTAAAAGGGACGCGGAGATTAAGCTACTACGTGACAGCAGGGAGAAGTATTTCAATGAGTACGTGTTTTACGAGCGTCAAGCCGCGGCGAAAACGCAGCAGTGCGAGAATTACGAAGAACGAATCCGTGAGTTGAATCTTCATCGGGTGGAGGACATGCAGAAGGTAAATGACGTTTTGGTTCCCCTTTTTACCGGATAACCGAATACGGGTGAATAACACTATCAATACAAAAAGGCACAGGTTATAATAAACATACAATATGTACTTACAAGTAAAATGGTTTCCTGCGGGGAACATTTTTAATGATAAAAAGATATTTCATTTAACTATTTTCAACATTGTTTGGGGGGGGGGGGGTTAAATAAACGTTTGCATCAGGAATATAGTTGACAATAATCGATCAATATATAGAAGAAGGTCTTTGAAAACTGGTGACAGTTGAAGACCAGAGAAGGTCGAACATAAAACAATTATTTCTTTTAACAAAATTATTAAATAGGCCTACCATTTTATGAATAATTCCGAGCAAATAAAAGTAAACACACAACTATCTCTATTTATTATGGCAGACGCCACTACGTATATTTTAATCTTGTAGATTTTCAGTATAAACAATTTATTGTTTGTAAAATTTGAGATAGATATTAAAGAAACATTGATAATTTTCAAACACATCATTCAAGTTTTTCCACCTTAAACGGTAAATAATTATAGAAAATTAGAAACATCAAGTAATAGTTTTTTGTTCTTAATAAGGTGCAATTCGGACTAATTCCCTAGAGGTAAATCCGTAACGTACCGGCAAGCGGTATTTAGCTAGGTTTTCGAAAAGGTCAATTAACCAATCATGTACGGTTTACAGATCACATGCTCCTCCATGTACCGAAAACAGGTCACGTGCTCCTCCATGCCTCAAAAGTTAAACGCGTACCAATACCCTGCGGTCTCCAGACCGCAGGGAATAAGCATTTAAAAGGCTGTTTTGAAAACTTTATGTCATTGGCTATTCCTTTTTTTTGGTCTATTGTATGTATTTGAGATTAGTAGTTGTTAAAGAATTATCATGATAGGGCCATTTTTTTGCCTTTGATATTTTATAATTATAGAATCTATTTTCCCTCCTGAACAGATAAGAGAGTTGGAAGAAAATGTCAACTTTTACAAAGAGAAGTGTGAACTTGATATAACACAGAGAAAAGTTTTACATGGATTTCGTCTGGTCCAAAAACATGAGGTATTGAACAAAATAAATGATTTAGACTGATTTTACAGTCAGATTTTAGATTTAAAAGCGTTAAACATTTAGCATAAGGATTGTAAAGCAGTCTTGTTCGACAACTTCCGGTAAAATGTATCTGTAGAAAGCAATTTACATATTAACATTAATTAATTTAAAAGTCCTCTCCCTTACAAAATATCTAATTCAGTTGTTTTAACTCGACCATTCGAGAAAGAGGGAGAGTTATTGTGCGCATACAGGCGTCAGTGTCGGCGTCACACTCTGGTTAAGTTTATGCCAGCAAGTTGTTATTTCGAAAACGTCTGAATGGAATATGTTGAACTCTCATACACTTATTTAAGAACATGATAGGAGGTCACTGCCTAAGGCCCATAACTCTGACTTGGATATTTGACAGAATTATGACCCTGTATTAATTTTGAATAGTCTACATTATCCAGGCTCTTGTTTAGCTATCAAGCTCTTAAATTATACGTTCTTATCAATTGTATCTAAAACTCATTTTAATACATTTGTTTTTGATAAGGAAACCCCAACCGATTCTGGCATCGGGCATGAACCTAATGCATCTCCTCCAAAAAGACGACGTCACTTCCGGAAATCTCTGACAAGTTTACCGAAATGTAGGAATTGTCAAACAGTGTTTGATCAATTGAGACCACATGAGATTTCATGCACCTTTCATCGAGCTTCACCACAACCCCTGAAGGTAAGTTAGCAATATTCCCTGCTGCATTTATGGTACATCTTATATTCATTTTCACGACTCTGATCGGTGAAATGATGTTGGTTTTTTTTCAGTTTCTCCTTTATTTTCCCTTTGTCCGTTGTCACTTAAAAAATTGATATGCCAAACTTTTTCTTAGCTTTATTAAGTATTGATTTATTGATTTTAAAAAGGGTTTCGTTTCACTCTTGGCTTAGGTTTTAAAGATTTGGCAATTTAGCTTTAACCATGACCTTAGTCATATTTAACCTTGTAAACAACTGTTCCGTGCCATGTCAAACCATATATTATTCATAAACTTCCCCTTTTAATCAATATTCCAGGCTTGGAAATCTCAAATGAATCTTGCTGACCTGCAACTGGACAAAATGGACCTTAACGGCTACATGTTTTGGCCATGTTGTGAGAAGTACGGTCTAAAAGAACCTCCAGGCTGTCTCAAACTGAAGAGTCACGAAATTATCTCCCCTGATGAAGAGTAACTATTTACCAGTCAGTTATGAGATATATTCAGCTCATTCTAGGTGCCATATATTTATATTTACAAAACATTTACAGAAAGTTCGATTATAAGATGACATTTCAAAACAGTATTACTTTCATACAGTTGACTTTATTTCTATCTAACAACCGATGTAGTCTAAATAAAGGTACAGAAAAGTTATAAAAAAAGGGAAAAAATAATGATTTGGCACTGAATGTTTGAAATACTTGTACATGTAATACTTCAATATTCATTTTGTAATTAATTTTTTTACGATCTTGGATTGCATGTACTTTATACGTTTTGTGTATATTGATTCTTTTTTGCTACATTTCTATCTAAAACCGATGTGGTCGAAATGAAGGGTACAAAAAGTATAAAAAAAGTGTAAAAAATAACGATTTGGCACTGAATGCTTAAAATACTTGTACATATATATATTTCAGTTTTCCTTTTGTAATTGAAAATCATATTTTTATGCTCTTTATTTGCTTGCAGTGATAATGACCTACCTTTGCTACATGTACCACTATAAACCAGTCTGGCCAGACTGATTTTCATGTCTGTGAAATCTGAGCGGGCTTTACACTGTTTACTGCTGACAGGTGGTAATAAAACCCCTTTTAACTTACAGAATACAGTTTTAGAATTCGAAGCGGGACAAGTGTAATTCACAAATTTGGCTTGACAAAGGCTAATTGGCTATATAATATACGTACATTGTCATATTAAGACTTGTCTGCGCCAAGTGAAGGAAACCAAAAACGTATATAAATATCACTGATTCACCTTCTCACAAATTGTTTGTCCCACATTTTAACACTCCCAAAGTGATTTCCTCACATGCTCTGACGTATTGGGACAGTTTATCAGCAACGCCCCATATAAATTCCACTATCGAATAAAGCACAGATAATATATGCAGTGTGGCTTATGCACCGGCTAATTGTTATTTACATGTAGCCCCCACTCCTAAGGATCGGTCGGTGAATAGCAGGGGATACATAGCCGATTTTTATCTTTTGAAACTTTTCAAATTT